GTTAGATCTCCTGGAACTGGAGTTACCAAGGGTTGTCAGCCACCATGTGCGTGCTGGGAATCAAACCCAGGTCTTCTGTGAGAGCATACAGTTAAGATAACTGCTGAATCATCTCCCCAGCCCCAAAGCTCAATATTTTAAATTAGCATTAATGCGCTCTTTAATTTACATTAAGTAAATAATTTATATGTAAGAATTTTACCCAAAGGCAATTTTACTACAAAGAGTTAGAAATTATTTTCACATGTATTCATTCATTTATTTTTGTGGGGTGATGGGACCCACACATGTGGAAGCCAGGGAACATCTTATGGGACTCTGTTCTATATCATTCCACCATGTGGGTCTGGAGGACCAACCTCAGGTTGGCAGGCTTGGGAGCAAGTGCCCCCCCCTGCTGAGCCATGCCCCTGGCCTAGAATTAGACTTTTGGATAGAAAGTGCACATACTCATGTATGTCTCGTGATGAGACAGCTTCCTCTGGCTTTTGACCTTATGAATAAATAAGCTGTTTTACAGAGGATGGTAAACTCAACAAGCAAAGGTGGGGAGCATAGGACTGGATGTTTCCCATTCCTGACTGCAAAGGAAGATGTGCCATACTGCAGGTCACTGCTGACCTGCCCTTCCCGGTTTCTTTCTTCAACAGCATAAACAGAAAAAATAGCCCTTGAGTAATGCACCAGGTTTGAGAGTGAGTTAACTGATAATGCTAGTGCATGCCTTTCACTATCTTACACATCTGGAGCCAAGCCTTACACAACCAGAATGAAATGTGGCGAGGTGGAACTTAAGAAATTCAGGGGAACAGAGCTGTGCTTAGTCGACATACGTCACTTAAAATGTGCTTTGTCATGACAAAGGACAAATCTTGGGCAAATGACACTGTGTAATATAATGCGTTTCCATTTATTATTTAGGCATTTTTTGGGCGGGGGAAGGCTTATTGTATGCAGTAGATTTGACCTGGTGATTCTCAGTTTAAGAAACAATTCTAGCGCTCACATGATAGTTTTCTTCTATGCATAGATTATGTAAGGGGAGCTCGGCTTTGAAGTGGAGTTTGCTGGGTCTCCTATTGACTGGTGGGGATTCTGATTTAATCTGTCTTTCATGCAGATTCTGCACTGACTCTTCAGGCCAAAGTGACTCCAGAAAGGACACAAGGGAACCAGATTTGTCCTCCATTTCATCTTTCATTTATAGACGGTTGGAGACTTCTCATTAAAATTAGAACGAAACAGAAAGACCTTGCTATAAAATAAATCTAGTTAAACACACTTTGCTCTATTGCCTCGTTTGTGTGATGCATGGGCCTCATTTTCTTCTTTGTGTCTTCACTGTGTGCATTAGGTGATTCCTGCCAATGAATGCAGCATGTCACATCCCTGATCTCTTCCCCTATATTCCTGAACATTAAACATAAATACGTGCCATCTGTCTCATATCTGGAAAGCAATTTGAAATAGTGACTTCTGTTTTCTTAAGATGACAGCGAGACTTACAGCTTTAGTGATTCTTAATTGTAAGGAAGCTCTGTCTCCATTTCATAAATGTAGCATCAGTTTGAAGTGGATCCTGTAAACTGAACAGAAGGCTCCCATGAGAGGTTGGGGAAGGCGGAGAGCAGGGTGGCATGATACTTAAAAACATGGTCTTTGGCATCCAAGGAGCTGGACCAGAACAATGATAGCGCTGCTTGGGAAATGATGCACCCCAGGAAACTGGCATATCTTGAAGCCTCAATTTTCCTCATTTGTGAAATGGACATGTTACTGGAGAACCATACCTTTATACATACATACATATATAGACATACAGGTATGGTTCTCCAGTAATATGTCCATTTCACAAATGAGGAATATATATACATATATCATGGGCAATGTATGCATAAGAACATTTCTTATCATCCTCTGATTAAGACCAAGAAATGGGTAGGAAATACCATCATTTTCATCATTGTCCAATTAGGAAATGAGAATAATTCGGCTTCCAAAAGGAGCTGTTGAAAAATAAAATAGCTCAGGGGCTGGAGACATGGTTCAGGGGTCAAGAGCACTTCCTCTGGATCATGAACACCAGAGTTCAGATCCCAGTACCCATGCAACTGTCTACACTCCTAGCTCTAAGGGGGTGGAGACAGGAGGATCATTGGGGTTTGCTGGCTTCCAGGATAGGCATCAAGATGTCAACCTCAGGTTCAGGGAGAGGTCCTACCTCAAAGGAATGGATGGAGAGTAAAGGATGGCACTGGCACTGGAAATGCTCTCTGGCCTACACACACACACACACACACACACACAGACATGCATACACAAGGATGCACTAAGCCCCCGCACATATAAGACCATATATACTCATACAGACACATAAATAAGTTCATGAACAAATCTTTTAAAAATAGCTCATGGTGATACAAACATTCAAACATAAGAAAGGGATTATAGGGGGCTGGAGAGATGGCTCAGTGGTTAAGAACACTGACTGTTCTTGCAGAAGACCTGGGTTTGAATCCCAGCACCCACATGGCCGCTAACAACTGCCCATAACTCCAGTCCCAGGGGATCCAACAGCCTCTTCTGACCTCCTCAGGCATTGCAGGAGACGGGTGCACTTACCTACATGTAGGCCATACACTCATACGCATAAAATAAGAATAATAAAATATTTTAAAAAAGAAAGGGATTACAAGTGGGGGCTGTGTATTTTACAGCAATTAATATACAAAGGTGAGAGACTAGTTGTTCCCATTGTCCTCTGAGCACATAGGCCCCACTAGATAAGGAACGAGATTGAGATTGATGAATTGGGGGAATTTGAGAAACTTTGGATTCCTTCATGGCTAGAATACCACTTTTCAAAGAAGTTTTTAATTTAAAAAATTATATGCTGTCTGGCATCAAATGCCTGGTTAAGTAGAATTTAGTTAAAGGGGTAGTGGGCAGTTTTTGAACATTCTACTTTCCACTTTTTGAGCAATTTTCTCAACAATACTTTCTCCTGTAGCAGAAGAGACAGTTTCCTAGATCAGAGCCAAGCACTCTGAAGATGGTGAACATGTAATTTGAAGTCTGCCCTATACTCACAGACCACAGAATATGGGAGTGCTATAGAAAATGCTGGATTCGCGTGACTTAGCCCAAACTATTTTAGCAAGGAGCAAAGGAAGGTCCCTTGTTACTGAGCAAACTGTCCCCAAAGCACACAGCTTGTTAGAGTAGTTCCTTACTTTCAGTTAGATTTCAAAAAATTTGTTAAGCAGACTGAAAACTTTTATATTTCTATAAATACCCTAAGTCTGTGTCTGACTCCTTGCACAATGGCTCTCCTAACAGTCTTCATTTGAACATAACTTAGCTGTTCGGCAGTCTTTGCCTGACAGCGTGGTCCAGTCTTAATAGCTGAGTGAGAACGCATTATGAAGACTTTATTTAGACTGTACAGTTAGAGTAATCCGACCATTAGTCACCCTGACATGTGCTTCACCAGAACCTAACACACCCATGAATCTGTGAATCTGGCAAAATGTCACCCCCCAACTTGTGCCTGCCTCACCACGATCCCTTCGAAGTTAAAGGGAAAAGAATTCTCCAGACTCCTTAAACTGAGTATCCATTCAAATTTTCCCTCCCCAAATATAAAATTAAAAGCAATCCCCATAAACCCTACACAGTTAGCAAAATGATTTGCTATGGAAAGAAAAAAAAAAAAGCATAGTTACACCATGGCTAAAATGGATCACCTTTCCCCTGAGACTACGAACAGCATGTAGAAGCTGGTTCCCACGGAAACCTGCACTGATCTGCCCCATGAAGACTGATTGGCTTAAGTGAATCGGAAAATGGATTCCAACACGCATCCATTACACTGATCCACACAGTAAAGTAAAATTGGGGCTAAGAACTAAATCTCCTAAAGACATGGCCCTGAAAGGCAATTCTCTGCCCTCTTTTCTCTTAAAGCACACTCTATATTTAATACATCTTATAGGCCTTTTTTAAAAAAGGCATCCAGTCATGCGGTGGGGATGAGGCAATCTTTACTCTCTGCCCTACTTTATGGAACTAACCAGCAAAGACTGATTGCGGGAAGAAGTGGTTAGAAGCAGTCCACAAGAATGGCTTTCTGGCCTGGCTTCCGTTCCGTTATCTGCTCATCACCTCTGTCCTTCTCTGATACAAGGCCAGATCCACCTAGGAGGGCTGACTGAACTCTGTTACCTGAGCAAGATTGCTGAACCTGAGAATGTGGAAGGTAACCACCAGAGTTCCCAGAGCAGATGTCTCTGCACTCCAGATCCTGGATTTGACACGCGGGAAGAAAATAAATGCAAGTTTCTTCCTACTGTGTCCCAAAGCCTGGAGCTGTTTTTGCCAGACTTTGGAGTGCATTCCATGTGCTGGGGGTGGGGGTGGGGTGTTGGGGAAGCACTGTCAAAAGCCTCCCTCTACTTCCCAGGACAGCTGTGTTAAGCGGGAAGAGGAGGAAGGCAGGGACCAAGTTAGGCAAATGGCTCTCAGAATTGCACAATTTCCTGGGGAGGAAGCCAGGCTGAGTAATACCACAAGAATTTGTTTCAACAGCCCCTGCCCCCCACTCTACCCCAGAAAAACAACCAGGCTGGAGATGCTGATAAGAATTCTTTTTATGTTATTCCAATAAAAAATACATTCATACAGAAATATAACAATCTTGCAAAAAACAATTTCAAATAAAATCTTGTAAAACAAAATTTTACAAAAATCTTACAAAGATTTTTTTTTAGATAACAGGGTGCTTCAAAAAAAAAGGAAAGAAATTCCACTAATAGAAATTTTTTTTTTTTATTTCAAGCAAAAAGTTTCTGCTTGATTGAGGCTCAGTTATCACCTGAACAGAATGTACTTTTTACCTACTGCTTATTATGAAAATTACAGGTATTGACACATACGGCACCCAGCCCCACCCAGTCAAACAACTTGTATGATGTTTCCTAAGTGAGACAAGTCAGCGCAAGTTTTTTTTTTAGTTCTTCTGTTTACCTTCTTACTTAATGGAACTGTTATGGCTAAGACACAGCAGGGCCAAAAAAGGAGTTTTCCAAAACCCAGCAAATCAAGTGCTTGGATTTTGAACAGCCAAACAAAAAGTGCATTTTCCCCTTAAGCAAAATGAAGTTAAGTTTTACAGGGAAATGTATTCATCAGTCCAGATACAAAAACCAGTTAAGCCAGCTTTAGTCATTGCTCATTTTCAGGAGGATTAAACAAAAGACCAGCCCAGCCAGACTTACATGTATATATGTGTGTGTGTGTGTGTGTGTGTGTGTGTGTGTGTGTGTATGATCTCACACGTACAAGACAGCAACTGGACAAAATATCAGAAATACCAGCTGTCTATGCTGTGGTATGCCAATTCGGGGAAAGGACTCCTTGAAAAAACTGGGAAAATCTACATGCTGGAAAAAATAGTTTCATCTGCATAAAAAGTATTCTAAAAAAGAATCCCTGTGATCGGCTTGCTCTTAGGTTAGACCTTTTAATAAGGCTGAAAGTCAAATAAAAACCTTTGCGTGTCTGAGTCCAGCTGGTTGGCCAGTATTTTGTTCATGCCCGTCTGAATAGCCAGAAATACCCCAGTCCAGGTTTGCCAATAATGACTAAAGTCAGCAGCATCCTGGTATAGGCTCAATGCCGAGAACATCTTCAGTAAATCGTTAAAGATAAAGCCTCTATAAAAGTTAGGTTATAGGTTTTTTTGTTTGTTTTGTTTTTTTGTTTTTTTTATCTCCTTTATGGCCATTTTGAAATACTTCACAGGCTGTAGAATTTTCTAGCTAAACA